GAATGACTTGCTTAAGCACTATCGGACGAGCCATATTGCACGGGGATTTTGGTCACCAAGCATAGTCATCATATGCAATCTTGTGAGCATATACCTGGCTTAGTCACGCAGTGAGTGTTCCAATGAAGCTACCTTAGGCGCCCCCTACTGACTTTATCTTGATCAAGGTCTAACCTATGACAACCCCACGGAACCTAGTTCCACAACCTTAGCATAACAAATTGCTACTACCAGTAGAGTTGGATGTAGTGTTATCTAAAGGGCATTCACCCACCAATACTTGGCCCAATTATTGGCCACGAAAAAAAATAGAGTAGAAACATTTATAGCAGATTAGGTTTCGCGCTCCTGTAGTGACTCATACGTTTCTTAAAATCATAACTTGTTAAACCACTAGTAGTGCCCAGAGGTACTTGTCAGACCGACCCTCCGGCTACCAGTACGTCGAACCTACCCAAACCTGCACCTACCAGTAGTCAAACATGAAATACTAAAAATGAGAAGACGAAAAAAAATGACATTTTTTGTTAAAAAAATAAAAATAGAATTACCAACCATTTTTTTTTTCTTAGCATGCAGGTGGAGAGAGAGAGAGAGAGAGAGAGAGAGGGAGAGAGACAAAAAAAAAAAAAAAAAAGACCCTCTGTTCGTTTTCTTTTCCCGCGGTGTTCGTTTCCCTGTTTATTTTGTTATAGTTTATGTAATCTTTCTTTTTTGGACCGTCTTTGGGATTTTTTTTTTATTATTATTTTTTTTTCATTCAGGTGGTTACCGATCGTTCCTCCCCGGACCCCCATCCAATGCGGCTATTAATACAACGCAACAATAAAACAATGGTTGACTGAGGTACTGGTGATTTAACGGACACAATCTTAGGAAGTATCGATGATTAAACTGCTCCCTGCTAGTATCATGTCGGGGGAGCAGGGTAATACCAATCCCAAAACCTACGGCAGTTCTCTATAGTGCCCTCGTGCACGTCATTCTTATCTGTATATTATAGGTTGTGCCATCTTGAGGGAATCAACTGCCCAGTGCTACCGTCTTAACCCGAAAATAAGGTACGTACCTTGTATATGAATACAAGGTACGTCATACCTTGTATATGAATACAAGGTACGTCATACCTTGTATTGTCGAATACAAGGTACGCACCTCGTATATGAATACAAGGTACGTCCTGCCTTGTATTCGAATATAAGGTACACACCTTGTAAACGAATTTTAGGGAGCAACTTTCCTAGTAAGGCAAAAAAAGGGGGGGGGGGGGGAATATGTAGTAAATACCTACGTTGCATAGAGTACACGTACGGGGCCTTTTCGTACAAAACGTACAGGTAATATCTGTACGGGATCTGTACGGGAACCTGTACAAAAACCTGTACGTCTTGTACGCCCTCGTACAAAAAA